GTGTATGCTTATAATGTACGTACTTTGTATAATACCTCCCCCCTCCCCATCGTGCAAAAACAGTATAAAATAGCAAATACCCCCCCCCCTTCGGGATGTACGTACTTTTTGAACGGCCCCATGTGACAGAAAGGGACCAACTCGAAAGGTATAACTCACCGTCAACCTCGGGCAAACCACTATAGGTTTCTTTTTATTATTAATTTTAGGAAGTTAAAAAACTGTTTAGAGCATGGATGTAGGCATAACCAAATACGGAAATATCTCCGAATGTTCAAAATTACAAAAAGAGTGAACCTAAAAAAGTCATTTTACGCAGCAGCCCATGGTGGGGCCGAGGGATCATGGAAACTCAAGATCTACAGTTTCGTGACATACGGAAATGTGAAGCCTTAACTTCCATTGTATCTAATGAGTGATTAGTATCAATATTTTTAAATTTTCATGATAATGATCAATAAAATATATTTTCCCAATATATCTTGAGTACAATAAACATGAACCCACGATAAAAGTAAAAAGATGTCCATAAATGTCAGTACATGATTCATATCAAGCACTATCGACAATCGAAATGGAATAAATATCGATTCATGTTATTAGAATTATGATTATTAGGAGCGTTATAAAAAATTAATTTTTTTCCTTATTTAATCAAAACAAATATATAAAAACAATGCAAATTTTTTTAATAATCGGGAAAAAATTTATTTCCTCATGAATAACTGAAAGAAACTGTAAAAAAAGGGGATGAAACTGGTCAAAATAAAAGAAAAAAAACAATACAAATGCTTAAAAGTATTGTAAGAATCGCTAGCATGTTCATTTAAAATAGCATTAAAAATGGTAATTATGTTATTTCAGCAGGGTTTTTTTACTATTGTAAAGCTAAGTTTTACTGTACTCATTTACATAAGATATTGGAAAAATTGCAGTCATTTTTAATTTCTTAACAAATTCATTCAATTAATTTTTTTTCCCTTCCAATTGTTGCTTTTCATTTTTCGTTTATTTAAAAATTAAACAGCTTGATCATCGATACTAAACTAGATAGCATTTATAAGGTGTTTAAAACCCTAATGTAATATTTCTTTCCGAAAAAAAATTTCTTCCACAAATGGGTTGGAAGAAGCCTATTTCTTCTAGGGTGGTTTTCTTCTGGTTTTCTCCAAGAAAATTACCTTCTGTGTCCTGTATTCTAATTCCTTTTTTATTTTCAATGTCAAATGCCACCAGCATAACATTAGGTATTACAAAAAAACTTTATACGAAGTTTATTAAAAATGTTACCTATTTCTAATAATAACTGCAATAAACTGAAACAATCATTCAACTCTTATCAATTGCTGAACTCACGAAAGGCTCAAACTTCTTTTTTATCATTTTACTTTATTATATTTTATAAAGTTATCAAAACCACTTATCAGACCAAAAACGTCCTCAATGTTTGATTAAATTCTGAATTAAAAGGAATTCAGATTTAAAAATAAGCATTTATCGGAAAGGAATCGAGCTGACAAGACTTTTTGATGACGTTTGTTCTGGCATTATCTTCAGTCATAAAGTAATATACATTTTCGAAAGGTATGTAACAATTATATTTTTTAATCAGGTACGATGCATCATTTGCTTTTGATAATTTTTTTTTAATTCATGAACACAAAGGATTCTTTCAATATTTTTTTTTCTTTGTTTAAAGATTTTGTACGTCATAATTTGAAAGCGTGAGTTTTTTTTATACAGTCAGTCTTTTTAACGAAGGTTAGTTTTCTGGTAAATTTTAATATTCGTAGAGAAGATTACTAGCCATGACCATTTCTTTTTCCATCAGGGCCGGGATAGCCTGGTCGGTAGGGCGCTGGGCCCATGTCCGAGAGTTCGTGGGATCGAACCCCGCCGGCCGAAGACTCCCCGTGTAGTAAAGTGACTGATGCACGTTAAATCTGTTGAGTCGCAGAAGTCCTCCATGTTCCTATAACAAATCAAAACCTCTGGGGGTACTGGATGGGAGATCGGTCGTCTCTGATTGAGGTCAAAATTACGATCTGTGGATGAATGGATGTACGAATGAATGGGTCCGCCCTATAAACGGGTGCGACGCAAGGTGTGGCAGAAGTCGAATGTTTGGCCATAGATGGCGCTAATGGAAAACAAGAACAATCGCATCCCCTCTGCCTAAACAGGCATACGTCAATAACAACATTTTTCCTTCAGAATGTTCATCCATCTGTATAAATGTTTTGTAAAAGTTAGGGTTAAATTTTATCGCCTAGTTATAAATTATTAAAATAATAATACCTTGCCGTGGCTGCCTTTAGAAAAAAAAAATTTTGGAACTACGTTAATTATTTTGTTGTTCAAATTTACAAGCTTTAAACTCCAATGAAATGATCGATGAAAAATCAAACTTTGGAAATTTATTCACAACTAAATAGATATTATAAAATTTCGTAAATACGTTTCTCGTACAAGAAATCGCAGAAAAAAATTTATTTTTGCAACTAAACTCTAAAAATATATATATATATATAATAATTTAGCTATCGTAAAGGCTACATCTCAAACTGCAACACAGCTCATCCACTAGAACTCTTGCGGCTCACAAAAGAACATTCTGAGGTGTTTAGAAAATATAACCTTAATAACGATGAGAAAAATTTATCATGTTCTTCTCGTTTGTTTTAAAAGATTTTATAATGAACAATGAATTATTTAAAAGAGTGCTTGTTTCTCATAGAGGGACTCAACAACAAATAGAGTGTCTTAGCGTTATATATAAATAAAGTAACTTCATTCGCATTTTCTCTCTATGAAAAAAAAATAAGTTTATTGCCGTGAAATGAAAATTCGTATACTCCTTTTTTTAATTAAAAAGTAACATTTGAGTAAAAAATGCATTTTACTCTAACTTTTGGATTGTCTTTCTGAACTAACTTTGGCTTTTTTAATAGATGGAGTTTTTAAAGGAGGCTCTATTTTTCGCCAGTAGCACCATCTCAAGCATTTCGTTAGGAGTTGCATCCGCATCTTTAATCCTAGGATATATCCTCGCTGCCTCGGTGTATTACATTCTCAGGGACTACGGAGTGCCCCCTGGACCGACAGGAGTGCCTATTCTGGGATGGTGGCCATTTATAGTGAGTGAACACTCTCACCTGCAGCAGCTGGAACTGAAGAAGAAATACGGTGACATTTTCAGTTTCAGAATCACGGGTGCACTCTACATAAATCTCGCCAGTCAGAAAATTCTGAGGGAAGCCCACATCACTAAAACGGATAACTTCAGGGAGAGAACACCTGATTTCAATCTTCTGGCCAGAATTTTTGAAGACGGTGACTATTTATTCCTTATTCATGCATACCGACAATGTACGAAACACCGGCATTGTATGCATTCCAGTTAATTGTAATCAAAGTACATAAAAAGAAAATTATTCTATATTTTACTCATATATTACGTTCAAAGACTAATAAGCTTTAGGCAAAGTATGAAATAAGGTGATTATTATATATTTTATCTAAGCACAGTATTTATAAATACATATTCTAGGCACAGTACTTACATATTTTGTATTTACATATGCTCTTTAGGCACTTTTTTGAAATTATTTAATACTTTATTTCAACACTGAATAAGAGATTATGATATATTTAATCTAGACGCTGTATACAATAACAAATTCTCTTTAGGTAAAATATGAAATAAGAGAATTATCATATACTTTGTCTAGGCACAGTGAACAATGAGATATGCTCCTTCACATTTTAAAGTAAGAGAATTATTATATTCTTCACCTAAGCACTGCATTCAATGACAGATGCTCATTAGGAACAGTATAAAATAAGATAATTAATATATACTTTATTGAGGTACAGTACCTAATGATTATGCTCCAGGGGCACATTTTGAAACAAAAAAAATTATTATATACTTTATCTATGCGGTGTATACAATTACAATTGTTCTTTGGACACATTTTGAAATATGGGAAATATTATGTACTTTATTGATTACCTAAGTACCTAATGATTATGCTCTTAGTGCACATTTTGAAATAAAATAATTATTATATACTTTATCTAGGCAGTGTATACAATTACAAATGCTCTTTGGGCATACTTTGAAATAAGTTAACTCGTATATACTTTGTGTTAGGCACTGTATACTATCCCAAATGCCCTTTGTGCACAGAATGAAAGATTAAATATCTTATCTCGTCTCTTTACAATGAAAAAATGCTCTTTAGCCAAAATATTAAATAAAAGAATTATTATATACTTTATTTAGGCACTTTATATACTGATAAATGCACTTTGGGCAAAGTGTGATAATATAGTTGGCAGTTATAAGTCAGATAAAAATAAACAGTCTATTATTCCGTTTAGCTTTTTTTTTCATAAACTATTACTGATTTGATGTGTTAAGTGTGGGGAATTCCGTGCCTTCCTTGACGGTTAATCTTATCTCTGGTAATATATGATGATTGCTAAAAATTTAGCTGCATTCTTTTTAAAGAAACAAAATTAAAATATGATTCAACTTGCGACACTAAAATTTTGCATATTTCATACTTGAGCGTTTGTCATTTGGTGTTGTATATAATGTTTAAGAAATGCGTGAAACGTTTAATTATATTATACTTTGTCTTGTTGATTTCGGATATTCGATATTGTATACAATATCGGCGTATACATTGTTGCCAGAAGTATATTCATTTATATAAATTTAGTTGATCACCCTGAAAGTTTCAATAATCTACTTGTTCTTTCTTTTGGCAGAAAATTTACAGCATTTCAAAAAATATCTTATAAAGATTTTTCTAAACTAGAACTTTTTGAGAAGCTACTGAAACAAATTTAAATTTGTATAAACGTTTGAATCGAAAGTATTTTCCGCAAAATCTTATTTTCAAACCTCCTTCCATCGATGCATTAGCCTCTTCTTAAGCAATATATGCTTTTATGTAGCTTTTGCATTTTCATATCTCTATCTTTCCAAATTTAAAAGTTTGAAAAGTGATTTTTTTCACTCTTTGAAGTTCATGCAATTTTGAAAAGCCGAGACAACATTCTCTATCCTTCAGAATCTACCGTTCAGATTCATACTCTTTAAACTAGTTTTAAAAAAATTTCAAGTTGTTGACTAAAAAGAACGATTTCAATTGAGGAGAAGTTTTTACATACTGTAGAATCTTAGTTTGTAGACGGTTAATGATAAATGGCGATTTCTTTAGCTTTATGACATTTTCCTACCGGTCAATGTAAAAAGATCCACGGCTTAATTCTGTATCTATAGTTTTACTCTATAAGAAATCAGGAAACCAAGAAATGGTGACAACTTTTTTACAACATAGTGGTGTATTAAAAAACATCATGCATAACTTCTGGATCTAAGTGTTTCGCATTAAGATGAATTCAAACAAGGCTTAACGAAATAGAAGCGGATAAAAATTTATTGTTTTAAATTTGTTTAAGAACATTGACAGATACCTGCGCTTCTTATGACATATAAATTTCTTTATTGAACAGTAATACATGCATTACACATATAATATTTAACATACAATCAACATATTACATTTTACTTGTGTTTCGACGGCATGTTCAATTTCGAAATCAAACTTTCATTTTCTCTGCTCAATTGTAAACAAGAAACATCGATCGTTTAACGAATAGCGTGTAAGGCCAAAATTAGCGAGAATAATTCATGAAAAACATCGGGTCTTGGAGTAGGCTTTATCATATCGCTGCTTCAAAATTAAAATGACACATCTGCAAGCATAATAGGTTTGCAGATGTGTCGTTTTAGTTTTGAACGAGCGATATATTGAAGTTTAGATTTAACTTCACCCTTTAAATTGTGTAAGTATAGATCATTATAGTTCATTTGTTTATTGTCTACTATTCTTTGTCTACGTAGGAGTGGTGTATTCTAGAGGAGAAAAATGGCAGACTGTGCGGAGATATTTTCTGACGCAATTCAGAGACAGAGGCATGACCCTCTTTAAAGAAAACACAGCGGACGTCGCAGATGAAACTGTCTGCAGCCTCGTGGAAGACCTCAGAAAGTGTTCGAAAGAGCCCGTTGACATACTGAGACTTTTAGTGAATAAAAGTAATCGAATGATTCGTAACACTTTATTGGGAATCAGCACACCCGTGACCGAGGAAGATATAAGCAGCATTCAGGAAGAATACAGACAAGTGAGCCAGATTGTTCATTCGAAGAATATGCTCTTGCACGGAACCTTCGCTAGGTAAGTTCGTGCAACGTCTTTTTCTTTTTCTCAGTGTTAAACTACTTATAAATTGAAAGTAGTCGCAGGAACGTTAAAGATTCAATGGGATTCATGAACAATACAATAACTTTTGATTTAATTTTCGCGTACTGATTGACACACGTAATGGTTCAAAAGCCTAACCCTAAATATACAAATTACAAAGCGAAGACGATATCTAAAGTAAGTTAAGAAATCGGACACAATAATGCACTTTTTCAGAATGAAAAAACTTCTCTGTAAGTAACTCTAAACTAGAGGCCGTTAACCAGTAGCTTGTGAAAGAATTTCAATTGTGAATGCCAATTCTATCGAGCTGTCAATTATTTAGAAATTCAATATCAATTATTTAGAAAATGTAAGAAATATCACATTTAAACATTATTTTATTTCTCCAAATTTAATTTTTTTAGGTATTTCGCTATAAAAATATGTTCTATGATCAAGTATTTGTTTACGTTAAAAAAAACACATAATTTTTTGTTAAAAATTTTAAAAAATTACGTATAATTCAAGATTGTGAAAGAAGAAGTAACAATGCTTTATTTCTACGAATTCGTTTTCAGGTACTTTATTGCTCCGTACCTACATTTCTACAAAGAGGCGATGAAACTCCACAGCAAGGTGAAGAGTAGATTTCAAAAAATGATTGATGACCACCGACGGACATACGATGAAGATAACATTCGGGACATCATCGACGCATACATGAACGAGAAAAATTTGAGAAGATCTAAAGGAGACGAAACGTATCAATACTTCACAGGTAACGATTTTAGAACATCATTAACATTGTTTCTGCTAGGAAAATACATATCACCCGTGTAAAATATATATTTAACATCAGGGATGTATACAATTTGGTCAAAATTGTCGGGACGACAGCCGAAAAAGTGGAACTGCATCACAGTGTGGGAGTTTTTTTCAAGGTTTGTCTTCGGTCCCTTAACTTCTGTGATCGGAGCATGAAGTCTGAGATATATGTGGACATTCTGGACAAAGCTGCTTTTCTAACTCCTTGGCAATATTTCGGGAAGGCCCCCGTTTCTCTTCCAGTAAGATAACTGCTCCAATCGAAAATCGAGGCATACGCAGCTATGATTTGAGGAAATAGATTTGCTTTCTGAGACCACCAGCTGCAAATCCCACGTAGTCATTCAAATGAACCATATTCACTATCGGTCACTCATTTCAGCTGGAAGTAAATTTCTGTATCCACCATTCAAGCACAGTGCCTCCCTAGGATGCAAAAAGGGGTCCACCCTCGTACTTTTACTAGTCTGTACCAGCGGGAATACCGATACTTTTGTCTAGCCAGTGAAGAACTTGGAGCTGAGTGGAACACAACACACTCAAGCTTTTATGGTTTTTATTATTTAGTTTATTTGCAGACTTATGCAGACTTCTATGATAAATACAAACAAGCTAACATGCGTATCTTCAGATTTCATTTTGCTATAAGTATTTAAATTCTCACACTTTTATTTATACATATATGGTAACCAATGAATTAATCATATTTTTTTGTGTTATCATGGAGGTGCTTGCACCAATTGTTCTTAAATTTTTATGACAACAGAGCTAACAAACAGAAATTCTCATGTATTATTTGTTTTTAAAATACGTGCTTCTATTCTTTTAGTATTTGCATTTAATACAATTTTTATTTAATAATTAAAACGATCTGTTGATTTCCAGACGAAACTTTGGTGAGTAATCTCTTACAGTTTGTTGGAGATGGAGTTGTGAATGTTGCAACTTATGTGACATTCATGCTCATGGCACTGTTGGACCACCCCGAGGAGCAGGAGAAGATCTACAAGGAACTGGTGGAGGTGTGCGGAGAGGACAGGAATCCAACCATGGCTGACAAAAGCAAACTCAGATACTTCAACGCATTCCTTTTGGAGGCTCAGCGATTGGCTAATTTCATTCCTCTCTTTCCAAGTCTGGAATGCACGAGTAAGCTCAAATAAGTCATTAAAAACAAGATAATGTTTTTTTTCACACGCTGACTATTCGGATACCTGTGATGTCCGTTTTATATCGCACTATTTTCCAATCGAAATTAACTGTGCGATATTATTTTTCTGAATGAAGTAAGGTTAGGTTGGTAGATGCTTTATTTACGTCACTCTAGAGCTGCACAAGGGGCTATTGGAGACGGTTTAGGAAACAACCCTGAGGGTGATCCGAAGACATGCCATCGCAATTTTGATCCTCTGCAGAGGGGATGGCTATCCTGCTTTGGAAGCCCGACAACCTTCGAAATCGAGCACTTTACGATAGAGCACTTCAACGAGGTCCGCGCCCCCTCGGTTCCCATGGCGTGAGATCAAAGTGGTCACCCAGCCGCTTACTGACCGTATCCAGCGATGTTTGACTTCGGTGTTCAGTATAAGGTAAAAGTATTTTATTTCTGTCTTAAAGAAGAAACATTCACCAATAAAAAATACTTTGCAATGTAGAAACAAGAGATATTGCTTATTTGCTTTACATTATAAAAACGTAAAAAATAATTTTGAACTCTTTCGACAGATTGCTTTTTATTATTAAAGTAGGGATACAATTACTACAGCAATATTTCAGTGTAGGACGGATAAAAGTAAAGTATTGAATTCTTTATTAGATTTGCTCATTTGTGAAGTTTTACTGATTTATAAAACTGAGTTTACCATAAGCTTTGAAAATTAAATTATTAAAGATCGGATATCAAACGGATCAAAGTAATATAATTGATTTTCTAAAAGAATATGAAAGATAATCTGCAAAAAAATAAAAAATCAAATGTTATAAAAACGCAACAGAGATTATTAATAAATAAAATGAAGAGCAGAGGGTTTCGATCCCAGAGCTACTCAATTAATAGAAATAGCATTTCTGAAATACACATAAATAAAGATCTATCACATAAATAAGAAAATTCAACCAGGTTTTCATGAGAACCTTGCTTAATAAANCAATGGTATCAAGGAAGAATTCTTATTTTAATATTTATACAAAGCAAATTTGTTGCCATGGATGAGTTAACAGAGCTCCCACTGATCAGGGAGAACATGGAAAACCTGGAATGGTCAGGGAATTTTATTTTAACTCTAAAAATCAGTGAGTGATTAGGAAAAGTGGCATTTTTTTACAAAACAAACTGTAAAATCACTGTATTATAACTGGAAAATAACCAGTCTTAGAATAGTAAGTAACAGTAATAAGTTATTGAGATTTGAGTTAAATAATTCTAGCATCTACATTACAAATATTTTAAAAAATTCCACTTTTTAGTGAAACTTTTCAATTCTTATTCTAATATGTCTTTTTGCTCACAAAATCTAATATTTAACATTTCAAATAAAAAATCAAAGTTTTCTGATGAACAATTGTGCATGGTATAGATGAAATATGTCAGGGATTTTCATAAAAATTTACCTGATATACATAAAAAAGTTGGAATTTTTTTTTCGGAAATTGAGAGAAAACACTGATTAAGCATAAAAATATATTGTGAGATAAGATGTTTATCTTTTATGAAATTTTTATATTGTGAGATAAAATGCTTATCTTTTATGAATTTTTTTTTTACATAAATTATACTTTTGAGAAAGTGCTTATGGGTCTGCTGTTATTATAGTCACATAATTTGAACTATTGTCCTATACGGTCATATTATAACCACATTAATTTTTCTAAGAGTATATAATTATCGTCACTATGTATATGCATAATAATGCAATGTCAAAGATATTTTAATGTATAAAAATATTCCAACAAGCATTATAAAAAGCATATATTAGCTAACCCTATAAAATTAAATTCCCCTTTATTATCCTCCATTTCATTAAGACAAACTGTATTATATCTTTTCGAACAGAAGAAACGACCGTCGGGGGTTACAGGATACCTAAAGGAGCCATAACTGTCACAAACGTCTATGCTATACATAACGATCCCAATGTATACGAGGATCCAGATAAATTTAATCCTTCCAGATTCCTTGGAGTAGACGGAAAACCAAGAGAAGAATTACCCATTACATTCGGTGTAGGTGAGTCACTTCAAGTTTTCTATTTTTTCATTTATTATTATTTATTTATCTGTTTATTATTATTTATTTATCGGTTATTATTTTTTTACTCTTTTGAAATTGCGTCGTTTATTTGTGTTTCGCAGAACTCAACATAATAGATTACAGAAGGGTTTAATACCCATCAAAAGAAGCAATATTTTTTTGTGGTAAAAATAGGGTTGCTTTCACGTCTCTGAAAGGCAGAAAATAGTGACGTCATCACTTCTGACGTCGCTTTGCACGTCACTTATCTGGGTGGGCAGTGCAATGGCGTTCAGTCTCAAGGTCAAGGTTTGAATCCAGATGGATAGAGCAACTGACAAAAGAGAGCTGATTTTTGATGGATACCACAGGCGGCTATTTTCGAAAATCACCTATTCAAACAACGCTGAATGGAAATCATTTGCTTTAAATAATTAATATTCTGGCAAACAAAAATAATCACACCACAACTAGATAGAGGAGACCTACCCCTAAGAGTGACTGCACCTTCGCCTAACTTCGTTTGATAGATAAGAAACAAATCTTTTCTTGAATTCTAGATTATTTTTGGAGAATTTTTTGCGAAATCATTTAATTGTGAAGGATTTATGAAATCGTCATTCCTTTCTTTACCAGGAAATCGGTATTTTTCTTTCATGCCTTCATAAGAAGGTATCTACGACTGGGGGAGAAGTGGAGGAAGGTGGACTTAGCCGCTACGAAACGATTAACTTCACCTTCTTACAATCACAAGTTCTTTCGTACTATTTTTGCTGGAGATACCAAGTAAAGCGATTCTTCTGTGGATCTTGATGAATGCTCGAAGGAAATTACTTTCCCGAGCACTTAATTGATTCAGAACTATTGATATGATCTCAATTCATCATCAAATCTGTTACGATCTGGTGTTTTATAAAATGCAAAATGTTGCAATAGATTTCTCCACTTTCTGCTGTACCCGTCTCAATGATATATACATAATTTTAAACATCGATCCAAAAGACACTGAGATACATTTAATCAGTTATTTCTTAAGGCAAATGTATTTAATCTAGGCAAATGTATCTCACTCTTATGAATATCCCATTGGACTTTGTCAGGACGAGGGCACCAAATTCGTTGGGATATCCTATGTTAATTGTTCCATTAACAAATTACCATTATCTGAACAAAAGCATCTCACTCTTATCCTCATATCAATTTGCCATTTGATTTTGTCCCACTTCCTGGAATATGATACCTGTTCACACATCACCTCGTACGCACAACATAAGCAGAGGGATACACCGGAAATATTTCTAAATTTCTTCAGGTTTTAGAAAGCTCGTTATTGTTTACATTCAGTCAACCATCCATAAATGATATCACATTTATTCAATATTTGTAATTTCCTCCCCCTCTTTATCACCAAATGTTCCACTCAATCATTTCCTCTACTCCCCTTTATCGCATGCTACACTCTATTAAATAAACATATTCTTGGAGCTCAGAAACGAAACACAGCAATATTGGTTTCGAATTTTATTTATAAACTTCAACTGTATTTTAATGGCATGTGCGAACACAACAAAAATGCTTTTATGTGAGCTTTTTTTGACTAAAAAGTTTAAAAAAACTAAAATAAGCAATATGAAAGTATTTAATATGCTGATTTTAAATATTTTTATGATAGCCTAAATGTATGCTGTAAAGCTTTTGTTACCATTTCCCTCCCTCACGATACAAATTGTTACAATTTCCTTTGGGAGGGATTTGCCTCTTCCACCTCTTTACACTTTGACATCATCTGTAGACGCGCCATCTGTTGACGATTTTTATACATAAATATACAACTTGGGGAAAATATATCTTTTCAAACCTGAACGCAGAAAACAGAATTTTCTTCCACTTTACTTTTATTGTTTCTCTAATCGATGTCGGGGACAATTTTGTGAGCATAATGAAATTAATATACTTGTTTCCATTCCAGGTAAGAGAGTGTGTCTCGGTGAAGGCTTTGTTCTGATGCAAACGTTTGTTTATTTGGCAGCCATAATCAAAAACTTCAAAATATCGTATCAAGAACCAAAGACATATTTTGAAGTAGTGATGTCTCGAAAGCTCAAAATATGCGTCACGCCCAGGAAGTAATAACGAAGCTGCAACACAAAATGGAACATTTGCTCTGAGTCTTTACATCTTCATCTAAGATAGATTAATCTAATCTTGAGAACTCAATTACAGATGAAAGTTTTTTGTTTGTACATCACATACTTTGAATAATCCGGCTCTTGGCAAAAATTCTCTAAAATTTTTCCATTCGATGTGCTAATTAAAAACTTGCACGAATTTTTACACTGTCTGAATTTTTAGGCTTATTGGAATGCGCCCGCTTATCTATAGGCTAACTATAAAATATATCATTCATTTATCAGTTGTTGTAACCTAAGTAACCTTTGACTACTAAGTAACGTTTGTAGTAACTTTTGTACTAACCTGAACAGGCTGTAGTAAGCCCAGAATGGACCTTTTTATAGCCACATTATACGTGTATTGGAACAGATTAAAAAAAACTATTCACACGAGGCCCAATATCGGTAGCGTAATGTCAGAAGAAGAGTGTAAAATTTCGTTTTCTTTTACATTTGATTCTACTAGTTTGTCTTCAAGTAACCATAGTCAAACAAAAAGACAGCTTCAAGTCAGGTCGGAATTCAGACGAGTGATGATTGGCTTTTGCATCAATGGTATCAAGGAAGAATTCTTAATTTTAAGAATGGTGCAAATTAGAATAGGCTTTTACCAAGCTTGTGACGTCAAAACACTGCACTCTCGAGCCTGTTTTAAGTCCTCATTTAAATGGTGTGTAAGAAAATTCAGTCTGAGTTGTTCTTCATCCAATTGTTCTGTATTTACTAAATTCTTTTTCTAATCAGCCTAAATTCATATCGAATGATTATTACAAGCTTGTAAATATCCTGAAGGTTATAATAAAATAGTGAAGGAAATTTCAATTCGCGTGATGCATTACGAAATGCCGGAGAGATTTGCAAAGAGCCGAATGAACACTTCTTAATACTAACAAACTATCATGAAAATCATGACAACCGTCATGAAAAATACATTATGCACATCACTATAGTACAATCTGATAACTATTTTTTTAAAAAAAAAACAAGGTACAAACAGTATTTAAGTTCTAACTTTTATTTTCGTATTAAAACTCGCCAATAGTATTTTGCACCACCTCATTTCGCTACTGAAGAGCGAAGCAACCCTTAAAAGTTACCACAAGGACCATCATGGACGGTGAATCGGTTCCTATATATACCGTTGGCAACGGTATATCACTCACAGCAAGTTTTTAAATAATTATGGAACTCATTTCAAAGCGCTCAATTTATGTGACTGCAATTTTTTTAAGAATATTTTCGCAAAAGAAGTGGAATGTTTATGTAAAGAAGATGGCAGAAAAGAAAAACTTTAGGCTCACCATCATCATGTTCTAAAATTGTTTTTATAAACAGTATCAATAAAGTTTTTATATCATTTTGGAAAATAAATTTATTTAAAAAGAAATTTATTATTTTTTTTAATATCCCATGAAGTTACCAAAACTTTTTAAACTTGTTCTTACACTGAAATACAAACTTTGACTGCCAAAAGGACTCCACTTTTCGGCCGAGGGTTTATAATCCTTTAGTTAAATTTTACTTCTTTCGTTGTCTCTAAAGAAATCTTCACAGTCCACTGAGTCATCGGAGCTCATGATTTGTTCTATGGTCTGGAAATATGCATGCGAAGAACAAATTTTTCACTTAAGACATGCAAATTATTCAATTTTTTTTTCACCTGAATAAACGATTTTTTTTATTATTTCTGCTGATACTATATACGGTAAAATTTTAAGCCAAGAATCTAAATATTCTTCAAATGTCCAATACAAACATAATTCTACATAATTTATGAAAAATATTAAATATATAACATGTTAAATATTTTTTTGGGTTGGTCATTTTAGCCTCAACAAATGCAAATCCAGGATCAACTTAAGATGCAGTTTTCAGTATAGAAAATATTTGTTTGGCAAAGTTACCCCGATTGTCTAGGTAACTTTGCCCACCTGGTTCTCGGATCGTTTCTAAGAGAGAAATCATTGAGCATACATTTATTTAAATACTATAAATCAACACTGCAGGTAAGAATGCTCATTCAAGCTAAATTATCATTTTCCTTTCTTCAACTGATTTTTCACAAGAAATTTAAAATTAAACTAACCCCGATTCGTGGCATCAAAAATGATTTTCGTAATGATTATAAGAAGGAATTTCTGGATTCTTGTTCTCGTCTGAAAGTGTGTAAAAATGATCGAAAGGAATTTTATTCCATCAAATTTTAAACATGTTTCTCTTTTTCTGCGTAATCAGGGACATTTCTATTTCGTTGTTACTTTGAGATTTATACATTGCGTAATGTTACATCAAGGTTACATATAACATCCTTATTTATTAGTTCTCATTGCCTTTAACAGTTAAATGAATCAAATGGATTGTGATGTTTTAGCTCGTTTCTCGTTCACTGAATGTTTCAATGTTGTTCATTTTTACTTTTGTTTAACGATTGCAAAGTAACTTAGAAGAAGCGAGAGTTGAAAGAATAAAAAACTATAAAATTATTTCTCTTCATGTATTAGTTAACAGTGAATAAGTGGTAAGTACTGTTTTAATCTCTTGAAAAAAGAAAGAGTAGAGTGAAAATAAAGTTTTATTCTAAATAAAATTTTATTCCCTATTTTTAATTGCATAGACATATTTATAAAAAAAAAACTATTTATTTTTTTTTCGTAATTTTTTTGCCGGAAGATTTCTGTATTTGCAATAACCACATTTTAGGGACATTTTACGGACAGTAGCCTGGTTGATGTTTCAGTTCCGTATCTATTTGCATTAATGACAATCGCCAAGGTACCAAAGGAATTTTAGACTTGCAATTTTTTAATTTTTTTTTTTAATGTAGAGGTTTTCTCGAGGATGTTACTACAAACTGTATAATTTAAGACGCATAATTAACTGTATAATTTAGGATAGTTTAGGAAATTAAAGTGGTGTTCTGTTCATGCTTTCGATTTATATTATAGCGAGATAAGCAACAAAATTGGAATACGCACGATGGCGAGTATTTAAACGAGTGAGTTTCTTTATATTTACTTTTAAAATTAATAGAATGCGAATTTAAAAAAAGACAATTTCCATCCGTTCATTTTGACTTAGTTTTTTTTTATTATTATTATTATTGGACACTCAAGCTTAATAGAATGCAAATAAAAGTTTGAAACTATAAACTACCAATTTTGTTTTGTTTATAGGTTAATAGTTAGTGATCTTAAAATTTGATTTATTTTTTATATACATTGTAAATTTAATCAGTTTCTGAGCTCTTTTTTATTCATAAAAATTAAATAATGAAAAAAGCACATAAGCATGTGGGAAGACTTTTAAGTATGAATAGCATTTTTGTTTAATACTACTAAGAAAATATCATTCTTTTTATTTTAATAAAAATATGATCAAGGCATTATATATGGAATATTATTAATTATGAAGTTTTGATACAATTGTAAAACAAATGCCCTGTATTATTACTATTATAGACAAGCAAATTAGAGGAAAAAAATGGTGTCTTTGAAAAATAAAATAAAAACCATAAGAATTTTCTGATAAAGGAAACATTTTGAAACGCACACCATTTAACATGATGTAAAACTATCTCAATTGTTTCTTGTTCACAAATTTATGTACCACAAGTCAAAAGTCTTGTTTTATAAATTTTCTAAATGATATTTATTTAAAGTCAATTTTTATTCAAAAGGCTTCTGAAGATTTTTGAAACTTATAAAATTGGAACCATTTTTTAAGAGTAATTCCGGCTTATGATTTTAACAGAAACTATAATAGTACCTTTATCATGCATGAAAATAAGTTGTTTAACTTTTAATCATCGATAAATGCTTTATGTAATAAAATTGAGCATTTTGTTTGTTTTGAATTGAATTTCATCATTTCCTTGCAATTTTATTTTTCTACAATCAGCATTATACATTCGTTTTCAGCATTGAAACATGAATAAAAAGCATATAGTTTTCTCATTTAATCATTTCCACCAGTATTTTTACATGAATAAAAAGAGTGCATTAATTTAATAGTATTTTATAAAACAGAATTTTGAAAATTAATAAATAAATATACTAAAAACAGGGTTTTGAATTATAAGAATAGAATTTAATTAAAAAATAAAAGAGTATTTTAAAAATGCCAGTTTGCAACTACTTTTAAATTTTTGGTATTATTTTGGTAATACGTACAACGTATGCATATACATCTGTTCAATTTATGCATATTCAAGGTATATATATACTATGCACGCATGTACATATGCATGTCCAATGTATGTATGTACATATGCACTATAAATGTATGTATAATGTTTGGATTAAACATGTGCAATTTATGCATTTTCCATGCAAGCATATACATTTGTGCAATATGTTCATCCAATGAATTTATTTACAGATGTACAATATATGTATGTCCAATGTATGTATGTATATACGCGTAATATATTTTTGTACATGTGAACAGATGTACGCTGAATAAATTTATGTGCAAATCAAATGAAATTTCAGTAGATCCAATGAAAATATATTCACATGTCTACAATAAACGCTGTGCTTAGAAAAACAAAACTACTACTTATAACTTTTGTAATTGAACGTTTAATATTTTTTTATTCTAATATTATAGACGATATTCTCGTCTTTTGTTGGGGGGGGAGGGGAGCTAAACGACTTACTTACTCGATTTTTGTAAATTATCAACACATTAAAAAAATAATGTTCATTAAAAAAATGTATTCCGTCGCAAATCGACGATGAAATCCTATATATCCGACTCTTCAAAATGTGATTACTCAAATGCGTGTTTTGTTTTAAGATTTGATTGTTGTAATCAATAATATATAGTATAAAAAATATCGGATTATAAAAACTACATAGAAATCTATAACTGTCAAAGAAATCGGTAGAACCATTGCCTTAAAAAGCAAACGATTAAATGCGTGATTCGAATTTTTCATATCGTCTGAAATATATCGGGAGAATTGGGTATAATATTAAAAAAACACAACTACTTCCACTTCGAAAATTTTAGAAGGAATAACATACAGTGGTGTCCAAAAGTGTGGACATTTTTTGAAAAGTTCGTGTTTTTCAACTTTGTGTGCTTGTAGATGTAGAATATATTAATTTTCACTTAAATACAAACGTTTATATATCAAATTGAAGGTAATTTAATGTAG